TAGAAAGCAGAGAAAAAATATTACCCTTGTGTCTTCTTTACACATTCTAAAAGAATGAAGTATGGGCAAAATTCCAACTTTGAAAAAAAGAACCTGTTAGGTTGCTTTTAGGATCACAGGCTTTTTAAAATCAGACAATATCAGCGCTTGTTTTAAAGACACAAGTATTTTATTCCAGGTGTTTTTGGCCGCAAACCCAGAAGATTCTCATGATATTTTTTTTTTTATTTTTTTTCCCCCTGCAGATGCAACCTCCTTTCATACCATATGGTGGTAATTAACAGTTTCAGACTTAGTTTTGAGTTTTCTTCTGCTTCAATTCTTGGTTGGTTTGGGACAAAATTTTAATGTCATGGAAGGGTTTTCTGTCTGAGTTTAATTGCAGACAGGAATAATGTCTAGATGAAGAAGGAGAAGATGAGATCTATTTAGAGCACTAAGAGATATTTTGGAAATCTCACCACGTACAACCTGTTTCTTTTCATTAAGCCTTTCACTGTCCCTCCGTAGAACTGAAACAGGCCTTGCTTGGACCCTGGAAACAGAAAGAGACAATTTGAAAGATACAGTTGGAATGAATAGTTTCTTTTAACAGCAAAATGTTTGCGCTTTTTATGAGAGCAAGGGTAACATTGTGTAATCTTCAAAAAAGATATTGCTCAGTGAGGATAAGTCCATTGTCCAGTGACACGACTTTTCCTGTCAATCACAAAGGTGACAAGGGGGCTAGATTAAGTAAAGCTTGCCCAAGATTAACAAAGGAAGATTATTGACCTCATCCTGAAAGGGCAGAAGCCTGTTTTATCATTAAACCTTGGAAGAGGTATTTCCTCCATAGGTGGAAAGCTGTTTGGCAATATCGAGGCAACTTTCTTGTAAATGAATGAATCTTCCTGTGGATTCTAGCTTGGAACAGAAGCAGAAGACGAGAAACGAGGGCCAGTCCCTTTTTTTGTTGCTGTTGTTGCTGGGGGGAAGAAGGGCCTAGAGTGTTTGCTCCAGCACGATCTGTGTAAGGTCCTTGTCTGCCTTTCCGAAGTGGGAAAAGCAAGAAGCAGCAGCATCAGGTGTTGGTGAGTACAATCCCAGCTCAGAGTTGGAGGAAATGTTGTGCCAGCACACATTAGCAGAGCAATTCGCAATGCAAATGAACAATAGAGCCCCGTCCACCAAGCAGCTGCTAACTGCATAAAACTGTTACCAGGATTAACAGTGCCAGAGGCTGGAATGTAATCAAACTTGAACAGGTGAAATGGTTACGCAGCGGAGAGAGACTGTTTTACAGTAAAAGCGTGGTTTTCCACTGTTTTGGTGGCTGATAGATCTTGTGTGTGGCTTGATGGATTTAATTTTAAAATGTCATTAGTAGATATTTATGTTCTTTAATACCCCTCCTTACAGTGTTGTTGCTTTTCTCTCAGTTAAACTGAAAAAACGTCATGTCGATTTGTCCTTTTAGAAAAGGAACCTGCTAAATCTCGCTTGTTGGGAGGGAACTTCCTTCTCAGGGGATTAATTTTAAACTGTTGCTGACTTATCTTTCTTGCCATTAAGGATTTCTCTGAGTGTTTTCAAGGGGCTAGTTAAGCTCTCACATGCAGTATCAGAGGATTTTCTTTACTAGAAGTTTTTTAGCTTTATACAACCATTGACACAAGCAGGTTTTATGTGGAAGGACGCTTTCTTCCTACGTGCTAGAAGTAAAAATCCAGACCCACTTTCTCCAGTAACGGCATAAGAAAGAGCAAAATCAAACAGAGGGATGTAAAGCGAAAGCCAAGATAACAGTTGCACGTTTTCAGGTTGTTGTTCTGAATGACAGAATAAAAAGATCATGGACAAGTGGGGAAGACAGATTCTCGAGCTGGTGTGCTAGAGGATACATGTTGAACTGTCATCAACAGCAGAAGCTGATGTGTGCGCTCATCCGCTGGTATGGAAGGGAGAGGATCCCTCTTAGATTGCAAATCACGCAATGAATGTGTGATTGCTACAGATCTTTTTGAATGAATAATTCACTGGTGTACTGTAATTTAGCCCACTGAGATGTGATTGCAGCTGTTCCCCTACTGTATATGTGTTTTGATTAAGTGGAGTGTATCTTAAACCCCACAAGTGTATAAATAGCTCACGTATGTGATGTGCAAACACTGCATACATGCACACCTAACGAGAGCAGTCAAAGGAAACATTTTTATTTTGGGGATGATTGCTTAGTTGTGCATTTTAGTATATAATTTACCTTTTAAAAAAATCTGTGTAGAACACTTCCCTTTCCTTTTTTAGTTCAGCTGTGAAGTCTTTTTAACTGTGGTACTATATAAAGGCTTTTAGCCAACATTGTGGTAGGAGAGTGTCTCTGTTATTAATGAGTTTATCATTCCAAAACCTTTGCAATATAAGAAATTACTTCTTTTGTGCCTGTTTTACAGATAGGAAACCAAAATGCAGAAACAAAAGTGACTTTTACCATGGTTTCACTGAACATTTGAAAAAATTAGGAGTTGAGCATCCAGAAGTCCTTTCATGATGCTTTGCCCGCAGACAACTGCCTTGACCTCTCCCCCTCACAATTCCTTTTCCCCAGAAAGTGAGGCAGAGAAATTTTAGTAGTTTTGAAAATGCTCGTGAGTTCCATTTGAAAGCCAAGCAATTTGTGTTTTTGAAAATCATCTGATACTGCTTTACATAATAGTGTGTACTTATGCTGCTTCTCTTATAACAAACTGGCTGTATACACAGAATATGTTTGTACATAAAAAAACCCGCTTGCATGCACCTAAATTGTACATGAAAACAGCAGTGATGACACCTGAGGTTTAGGCAGCTGTTACAAGTACTTTGTGTCTGTGACCAGTGTGTGACATGCAGAAACACGAGTGAATGTCTTTGGGGCATGCTTTGGATTAAAACAAGAAATTAGTTCCTGGTAAAATGAGGAACAGTACTGTTCCTGTATATAATTGATGGTACAAGTAGATTTAAGAACTATAACTAATGATGATATTTGGCTTCTCTGATTCAAAGTGTGAATAAGAAAGCAGCTTTCAAGATACTTCCTCTTTTGGCCTTGTGTGTAGGAAAAAACTGCCACTTGGTGATAATAGGTTTGAATCTTAGATAAAATCTGAACTGATGCTGAAGTTAACTATTTGCCTTGTCTAAATTGGTGTTAAAAACCAGTTTTTTCAGATCTGTATATATGGGGAAAAAAATTGCATTTGGCTTCAATTAATTTTTGAAGTCTGGTGTCAGGAACTTGTAATTTTCCGTGTGCAAAATAAAAATGGAGGGAGCTGCAAGAAAAAAAAAAAGGAAAAAAAGGAGCATTTCTGTTGACTAGAGTTGGAAAATTTTTTAGGGCTTGGTCAAAAGCTCATTGACGTCAGTAGAAAGTCTCTCATTAACAGCACTGGGTTTGGCTTTTGGGGCATATGATGGCCCAGATTGTAATCTCAGTTAAATCCGATTCTCTTAGGGAATTTATTCACTAGTATAACACATTCAAGCTGCTCAAAACTATTCGCATTAAAAGTTTTCTTAAGCAAAGGTAATCTTTTTGCCACAACAAAGTGGTCTGTGAAAACAAATATATTCTCTATTGCGTATCTCCCGTGTAGCTTTATTCAGATTTTATTGAGATAGTTTTTAGCAATTTATGTTCTATTTACAAAAATATACTTTTTTCTCCTGAAATACTGTGGTTTATTAGAGCAGAGACATAAAAAATTGCTCAGAAAAAAATTATTATTATACGAATCACTAAAAACTGTGTGCATGTGTATATATATTTATGTCACTTTCATACCCTATAAAATGAAAACAATTTAAAAATTATTACGACTTTTTCGGACAAGTCTGTAACTCAGCTCACGAGTTGATCCAGTGGCTTTTTTAGAAATAATATTCATTGAACATCTGGAGTACAAAAGTGTAAGGAAATAAGATAGTGAAAAAAATACCTGGAAAATCAGATCAAAGTAAAAACTATACACGTTTATAGCATTATGTTTTATGCAGTGTATGTACTCTGCAGCAAGCTGTGTTTGGAGACATTGACCTAAGTTTTGCAGGTAGATATGGCATATGTTAGCAGAGGAAGAAATGGGTTTGAGAGATGTGTAAGAAGGGTGAGGTATAACAGAGACATAAAAGGAAAAGGAATATGTGCAGAGAACATTGTTTTATGTTGGAGGAGGCGTGGATTAGAAGGCTCTCACGTTAATGAAGGCAAGTTTGAAGATGCTGGACCCAGTTTTGCTTTCCATTAAAATTAATGAGTAGACCTCTGTGGACTCTCACGTGAGGAGGGTTGTGCGTATGTTCCGGGAAGTCACAGAGTTTTGCCATTGTGCTGCCAGTGAAAGTCATTAGGACCACCTTTGTGAAAAATACTGTCTCTATGAGAAATGAAGGTTTGAGGCAGAAGAGGAGAATAGAAAGAGAATTAGAAAGCAGAAAGAAATTGCTTCATCCTTTATAGATGGGAAAACTGCTTGAACTGTGATTTAAAATAAGTCATATGGCGAAGGGCATTTAGTATTTGGTTACTATTTTATTTCTTACAACAACTAGCCATCAAGGCATTAAGTACTTTATAAAGTCAGGAAATTAATGGTCCTTGTAAAAATTGAAGGTTTTTTTTTAGAAGGAAAGCTGTAAAAGAACAAACAATTAAAGGTAATCAATACCATTGTTATTAGGAGACCTATGAGTACAACACTTCTCAATTAGGGAAAAACTGTATTTTATGTTTCTCTCTTGCAAGCTGATCTTTGTTCACTCCAGCCTGTAATCTTGGTTTATGCTTTATGGGAAGGCTTTGTTCTGGGTGTTTTTGAAGCATTGCATGCCTTTTTAAAGGTTTCAACAGAAGAACAAACAGCAATGCATTCAAAGCACAAAGGATTGTTCTTTCTTTCTTTCTTTCCGTCTTTGTTTTTTTTCTTCTTCTTTAAGAAAAGAAAGAAATATTTCATCTTGTTTTTCTCCCCTTTCAGGAAGTTGATGGCAATAAAGTGATGTCTTCATTTGCCCCGCACAACTCATCTACCTCACCCTTGAAGGCAGAAGAAGGTGGGCGTCAGAGTGGAGAATCATTGTCCAGCACAGCCCTGGGAACCCCGGAAAGGCGCAAAGGGAGCCTAGCGGATGTTGTAGACACCCTTAAGCAAAGAAAAATGGAAGAGCTCATCAAAAACGAGCCAGAAGGTAAGGCCTGGGAAACTGGCCAAAATTTTCTGTTTTCTTTTCTTTTCTCCAGATTCCTTTGGATATGTATACTTTTTAATCTTCCAATTTTCTGCTCTGTTTGCTTTTCCTTGCTAGCAAAATTGAAGTAAAAATCTCATAGGTCTTGTCTACGTTAGAGATAAATTTCAGCAATATCCCATCATAGCTAACATTTTTAGCTTTTCCCAAATTAGAATCTAGTGGTCTTTTTGTCACAGTTGCAATAGACACAGCTCCTCAACTTGGGTGCAGTGAACCAATTTGAATTGCCTGGGGGCTTTTACTCCACTGCTTCCCTCTCCCCCGTTTCTAGAGCTAAAAGCAGTGTTATCAGGAGTGTCAGTGGTTTTTTGTGAAATTATCTAGTGGGCATGTCATTATTTGAAAGGTAAGAAATTAAACTGGGAATTCATGAAAGCTTTTGTGTGGAACAAATCATCCTCTATTTATCTGTAGTGCAGGTGCTATACAAACACAGTACAGGCTTTCTCTGCATTATTTTTGGCCAGCAAGTTTCAGCCTTGGCATGTTGGTAATAATTTCTGGAGAACTGGTTTCTTCTTGAGACTGTATGTCCAGTCGGTGATGATGCCACTTGTGTTCTGGAGGCTGAGACTTAGACCAACTATCTCACCTCTGAGAAGCCACAGAGCAACTTTCCTTTAAGCAAGATTTTAATTTTTGCTTTTTTGGGGCAGAGTCAAAGCCCTGACTGGAAGATGAAGTTCTCACTACATTCTCCATAGGTATCTAGCACGCTTTCCAGATTTTTGGGGCGCTGTGAGGCAGTTGTGAGAACATAGCAAGCCTTCCTCCCTAGGGTACAGTAACAAGACTCTATTTTCATTTACACTCACCTATCCTGCTGTGAAAATGTATTTCAAATGTTTAAAAGCATGGCCCTCAGAGCTCCCCTCAGTGTGGAAGTATGAATTGACAGTACCTACAAGAAAATTTTAGGACAACCTGAATACTGGAATGAAAATATGGATGCAAACACAAGCACATTGTCACGTACACAAGCATGACAGGATTGTAAATGAGTCTTTTCTTGACTGGAGCACACAGGGTCTGCTGGGAAACAAATTCTTTGTCTAAGCATTTTTTTGAATGTTACTTATATTGTTTCTTTTGCATTTACATTGACTTAATAGTCAGTACCATAACATACCTTGTACCTTTGGATGGAAAAGACTTTGGGGGGGGGTGGGAAGGAGACCAGGCTTTTATCTGAGAGAGAGAGGAAAGAACAGGGGGTTCTGGGCAATGTATAAATACTCTGTTGAGTATGAGATTTCACAAGCTCCATTAGGGAAAGGCCACAGATAGACATGAGAATGGTTACAGAGCTTGTGCATTATCTCAGCTCCACTAAAATGAAAATATACAGTACAAACAAAAGATCTACAGCTTTGTGAAGAGATTGGGAGAGAGAGGAGGGGGAGCAACTGAATGTTGGGCTTTGCAAATGCATGCAACAAAAAATCTTTTCTTCCCTCTAGCCATTGTTCTATTGTCTTTCAAAGGCCATTAAATTGAACAGCAGGTTGTGATGAAAATTTCATTAAGCCCTAGTTAAATCATTATGAGGGTGCCATATTCACGTATCTGCTTACTCCCCATCCAGGAAAAAATGAATAGGAAAGAGTTGAGCTTTTTTTCCCTTTCTCCTTAAAAGCGAACTAACAAAAGTTCAGAAGTTAGAAGAGAATGGGAAATGGGACACGAAACAAAAGGAGGCCAGAGAGGTGAGCTGGCTAGGAAGAAAATTAGACTTGCATAAGAGCATTGAAAGGTGGTGAGGGACAAATACATCATTTTGACAAGTCTCCCTCCCCCTTCCCTTCAGCCAACATGATTGTTTTTAGAGTGGCTAATTAAAAAATATATATTTCTGGGTGCAGATGGCAAGACTGTTCTTAGAGATCCTCCACAAATACGAGTCTTTTTCCCTAAATGAGGTATGTACTGATACAAGCACAATGTCTCTCTGTTTGAACTCCAGCAGAAAATTATTGTCATGTCTTCTTCATGTAGTCCTAAAGTAAAGTTGTCAGTCATCACTGGTTGCTAGTCAGGTAATTAGCATATTAATGAATTTCCCCATGAATAAGATGTTACAAGTGGGAATCTTTGATAGTACATGTAGGTAACAATTCAGCAATTTGCGATCACTGTGTATTTCAGTGATAATTTTTAGTCTTGCTAGTTCGTGGAGCTTTGTAAGATGAAGACCAAGAATCTTGGTTAAGCTTTGCTGTATTATGTCAACAACAATAATATAATACTTTATTTTCCTTTGGGAAGAAAGGGAAACATTTGCACCAGTAGTTGAGGTTTAATTAAATCAATTTCCTGTGAATCTTTCAAAGACCAGATATGAGCTAGATTCCCATTTCTCTATGTACTCAAAAGTTTATATATTATTTAACTTGTACAATGGGCTGTGTTTGCTCTCTTTTTATTGTTTGAAATTGTCTTCTGCATTACTGTGGGAAACGTGCTTTTCAAGCATTCTTTCAAATGGCCTGTTTCTTCAAAATCTGAAAAAAAGAGACAACTTTAGGTCTCGATCCTTGTATCAGTTAGGGAAAGGAATTCTCTTTTCTGAAACTGGTTTTGAGGATGAGTGAGATATTCCAAAATACTGATAACAGGTTTGACTGTTTTTAATCTTTTAATCTTTATTGATACTGGCAGAGGTTTTCTTAAATTATGTTAGAAAATAAAAATAAAAAATTAGTAAATTTTGTCAGTAAAGGACAAGGATTTTTACATTGCTGCTAAACTACTGCTCAGAGTGCACAAATGCACACATGTATGTATGCATAATATAAACACATACATGTACTCACACATGAGCTGACAAGGGAGGCATCACTCTTCATATAAATGGTGATTTCCATGTAGATTTGTTGTATATATGCCTTTGGTTAATATGCCCTGCAGGAAACCATGCTACCTACTGTCCCAAAGCCTGTCACTTCCCTTTCCTCCTTGGATTATGTGTATGAGTTTTGGTTTTATTTTTGTTTTGTTTTCATAGGGGTTTATACTTAGCTCTAAAGCTCCATGCTCTTTTTTTTTTTTTTCCACCTCTAAACTTGCCTTTTTACCCTTGCTGTATGAAAGTATGTGATTGACAATGAGTCATGCTGACACAGAGACATGGAGTGTTTCAGGGAATCTAAAACTTGTGGAATTTTACTCATTACTAATACAGTGCTCATTTTTATTCTCTCAAATTCTGTGGAAAATCCTTATATGCAGCTTTAGTATTAGGCCCCCAAAGGCATAAACCTATTACTGAAGTCACACAATGTTATTTTACATGAAACATTCTGTCCTTTCTAACTTGAACTTCAGAAGAGGAGTCAGCCCCCTTTTATTCTTGGTATACAATAATGAAGATAATGGAGTGGGTTTGGAGAAGCCTTATACACTGTGACAGACCTCAAGCCCTTGCCCTGAGGGTCGTCTGCCGACCACAGGATTCCTTTTGCAGCTCAAATCATTAGGCGAATGAGATACAGGCATGTTTTTCTTCTGTTTTCTTCAGGCATCAGGGGATGGCAGAGACTCTCTGTCTGTCTGTTCTCCTCATTTGTAGAAATGAAATGGAAATCTCTTTGAAGTCACTGAGCTTGACACAAGTTTGTGAAAGCAAAGACCAAAGCAACCACTTAGGTTTTTCTTGCACTATTAACGGGATTGGATTGCTGTATTTTAATTTATGGCCTCTGCTTGTGGAAAATTAAATCTCTGAAATCTGTGTAGCCTTTCCCCTAAACGTATGGCTTGGCTTCTGGAAAAGAAATAGGCAAACAAGTAAATTCTGTCCTATTTTTAGAATAAGCCAGAGTACTCTTTGGCTCTTTACGTATCCTAACCTCTAATTAAGAATCAATCTTCTTTTTCTATTTTGCCAGTATATATTTGTACCTGATTATGTATCTGTTTATCTTTAAAACGTACATAGTGAGTCTTCTGAGGCCAAATCCATATTATTGTACACAGTTTGTGGGAATTCTGGATAAAAAGGATCCTATGGGCATCTGTGTGACCACAGAGACTGCACATATGAGCATCTGCACATGTGGGTGCAGTCAGTCATCTGCATGGCTCGTTCTTCTGTGTTAAGAACCTCTGAAACTCAGTTCAGCTGGGCTGTTTAAATGAATACTTTGAATTTTCTATAAATACATGTACACACTTATATCTGTATATATTTAGATATAAATATATATAAACATGCACACACAAGAATTATATATATATATATATATAGTGTTTCATATTTTTCCTACTCCAAAATTTCAATCTTAGGTCTTCTGAGTAGGAACAATTAATCTCAACTGTTTAGTAAGAAGGTAATATGTGTGTTTGCAGTGCTTTAACAGGCAATGTGAGTACTGGAGCCTCATGTATTATGATATGCAGCAATACTATAAGTAATTACTTGTCAGAAAAAAAGGGATGAGAAAGGCCTCTTGGGCGTGATTTTTGTCTTCTGAATGTCTCCCAAAGGCTATTTGTATTTGATGTTTAAGTTTACATTATAAATCACAACACCTGTTCATGTACTAATTTAAATGACTGTTGTTTAAGCAGTTCTGTAGACTATAAAAGTGAACTGTGCTGAATTCAGGCTCTCTAGTTGAAATAAGATCCCAGAATACCTCCTAATATTATCAAACTTTTAATCAACATATCTTGTAAAGAAATCAAGAGGTCTCCCTCTTCTTAAGACATAAATTCCAAAGCAGGCCATTAATGGGCATAGGAAGGGTGGCCTTTGAAATGCAAACTCTTTTAAAAATCACATCTGATGAGATGGGAAGAAATAAAGTGCACAGATTCGGGGAAAGCCTAAGGATACTGTAATTGGTTGGGGTTTGAAATTCTTTTATTTGGTTCTTCACTGTCCCTTTGACAGAGTACGTGTTGAAGAGGCTTTGTAATGCTTTTCCACTGAAGGA